CTTGGGTGCCCTGGAGTGGGCTTTGTTCCTGGCAACTAATCCCCATGGCACTCTGATCCCTTCCTCTTACAGCCCTGAGTCTTTGCCTGATCACAGGCCTCCCCCTCCTTGCTTCATTGGGCTCCTACAAGCTGCACCCAATCCTTGCACCCCTGTCAGTCACACACACAAAAATATCATTTTCTCATTCCTCGTCTATTTTTCCTCGCCCAGTTATGCTTCTGCTCTTCACTACCAACTAGTTTTGACAATAGCACGGATGATAAAGGGCTATTGTCGCACTGCACACACGTGCTGAAATCCTTACCTCACAGACCTGTAGGTATGCCCATATTTGGAAATAGGGTCTCTGCAGGTTGCAATTAGTTAATATGAGGTTCCCACCCCCCAGCTGCATTAGGGGGGACCCTAAATGCATACTGAGCAGGGTCTTCTTAAGTAAAGAAGACAAAAGGACAGATAAAGAGAGAGATCATGTGACTAGAATGCAGTGGTGAGGAGGCCCCTGGCAAAGAAGAATCCTTCTCTATAGAGGGGCTGGAAGGCACTGCCTGGGATGTGACCAACCCAGGTTCAATCCCCAGCAACCCATGTGGTCCCCTACACACTGCCAGGTGTGATCCCTAAGCGCAGAGGCAGGAATAAGTCCTGAGAATTGCCAGGTATGTGTGCTCCCCCCAGCCCCCAACCTGCACACCCCCTCCAACCCCTTCCCCACCCAAAGGATCTTTCTCTAGAGCACATGTTCCAACTAACAACTTGATTTTGAAGTTCTAGCTTCTTGGATAGAAAGAGACAATGTTTTCCTTGTTTAAAACATTTAGTCTGAGGTCCTTTATTACAGAAGCATCAAGAAATGTATACACCAACTGTTTTCAGAATTTCCGGCCAGGTGACCCACTGCCCTCATTTTCCCAGGACACAGGAAATTCAGTACTAAACCAGGAAAGATAGGCAGGCCAGGATAATTTATTACTCAACCTCTGGCCCATAACTGCCTTGAAATTAGCATTACTGGATATTCTGATGCAAATATCATCTTTCTTAGTTGGTCCCCTGAGTCTTACTCTCGAAAAGGTAATTCCATCCAAAGTAGGATAGGAACTCAGCATTCTCGGTATAAATCCATCATATCCTTCAGACTCTTTCTTCTCATTCTTCCAAATGGAACCAAGACCCAGGAACTGAACCCCACTGAGTCTCACCCCTCCTCTCTCCTGTTCTTTGGACTTCCAGGTCCCACTTCACCCTTTTCCTTTCTATTTCCTGTGTTCGTTCCTCCCTGCTAGTCCACATTTTGAACTTCTCCTTGCTGTGCATATCTTCATAGAGGAGGATTATCCTAAGACAGTTTTCAAACTCACACATAACTACTGAGGCCCCACTAAACATATCAGCCTCCTTTCCCCCTGACCCACGTCTCAGGCTAGCATCGCATGAGTCACTACCTCAGACGCTTGCCTGCACTTGCACTGGTTACTCCCCTCACCTCTGGCTTATTTTCTCCCGCCCTTTCTCAATGAAACCCTCAAAGAGTTTCATAAACACTCAGCAGTGTCTTGGGAGCCAGACTGGCATTGTTTTCCTTATTCATTCTCCTCAACACTAGACTGGCAAACTCAGATGCCTCTCTCTTGGGTTAGACACCCTTCAGAGAACAAAATGCAGCAGTCACTTGAGTTTAAATTCCTAAAATTGAAAACTCTTAAGAGGAAGTGCATTTTAACTTCTATCCTCACTACTTAGCATCAACACTAGTATAGGACTAGTAAATGCCTGTTAACGTTTACTCGAAAGTGAAAGGATTCTGAGCTGTGAGGTACAAATGATGCTATTAAACAAATCCCACCATCTGATCCTGTCCTTGGCTAGAAAGACAGGCAAAACAGATGCAATTTCAGGTGAGTGAGGATTCTAAACTGTGCAATCTTAAAAAATGGGAAGCAAACAGTGGCCAATGAAACCAAGTATGTGTTTGCCCTTTGACCCAGCAATCTCTCAAGTAAATGTCTCTTCTAACTCAATAGTATTCTTGCAAACTTATAAAAAGATGCTCTGCAGGAGGCAATCTTCTTCATCACAGCACTGCCCATGATTGCAACTGCCTGAAAGTAATCCCAACGAAAAGATATTGTGTAGATTATGACTCATGACTACGTGAAGAGGCTGGAGGCTATGAAATAAAGCGACATAAATCTATATGCCGAGGGAATGGCCTCCAGGGACCCTGCCCCCAAAAGCTAGAGACACATTGATGTATTTGAAATGCCTATCTAAAAAAGAATAAGGTATATATATGCATGTGTATGAGTATATCATTATTTAAAATGAAACAAATACAGGTAAAATTGGGGTTTCAATTGGTACCATAAGCACAGAAAAAGAAGTAATGATTTCAAAGTAATGAAATCAAATGATTGCAAAGTAATGATTTTGTTCTAGTCTCCTAGTGAGATATACACTCTGAGCACTGAAAGAAGAGAAAAATATCATCCTCAAGGGTTTGTAGGAGTCAAAATGATTAGTCTCGGAGAAAACTATTCTCCTGAAATGAGTGAGGGTGTCAGAAAAAGTCAATAGAATAATCTGCTTGGCCTGAAAAGATGAAAGATTTGGCATCCAAGACAAAAATATGCGGACACAGATGTAAAGGGTTCATCGAAAACTGGATGTCCTGCAGATGCTGTACAAATCTAGGGAAACTTACTGCACATTTAGAGAAATATCTTTCTTAGCTGTAACATTGGAAAGACTGAATTGGGGCACTCACACACTCTAATCTGCGAAACCCCCTGATCCTCAGGTCCAGGCAGGAAGCAGTTAAGAGTGTTGGGCATCTCATCATCACAGAGAGCAAACCAGTGACCAGAGACAGCAGGCATTTGCCAAACCCTGCACAAGTGCCCAGGGGTGTGCTGAAAATGTGACAATCTCAGCTTTCAGGATAAAAGTGGCTTCCTCTGGAGGGATAAAACAGCAGGCAAAGTGCTTTCTTTGCAGGCTACTGGTGTGGTTTTGAGCCCCAGCACCCAAAACGGTCCCCTAGGTTCTGCTGGGAGTGATACCAGCACCTCGACCCCTCCCTGAGTGCTCCGTGAATATGGAGCCAGGAGTAAGCTCTGCGTTCCACCAGAAATTGACCCCCAAACAAAAACAAAGAGGATAAAAATGGCAACTGGTTCAACATCAAATATTGAACTCTATTCATATGAATTTGCACTCATATCGCAGATGATAATAAAGATGTATTAATGAAGTTTCTTAATAAATAAGAGAAAGTAAAAGGAAAACACTACATCTCACTGTCAGGGAATCGACTAGTATGAAATCAAAGGTACCAGTAGAGGGAAAGGAAGAATAAAAATTATTCTGCTTCTCCTGTATAAACAAACCCACAGGATGCTTTAATAGCTGGTGAGGGAAAGCTCCTTCAGAGAGAAGTATTCTTGCTACTATTAAGGAAGACAGAATGAGAAGATGAGAACCCCCCAGGTTTACACCCACAAGGTTTGGTGGATGCGGGAAGTGATCATTAAAGGATGCTAATTTCACACACAGGTGTCTTCTCTCCAGATGGGAAGAGCAAGTAACACTGTCAACAACACAGCAGAGACAAATAGCTCCAAACCACATCTGAGCAGGACGCTTAATGCTAGTCAGAAATTGCAGAAATATTCAGGACAGAACAGAGGAATGGCACCACCAGGGTGTACTCAGCCAAATCCATCCTGGGGGACACCACAGCATCAAGAGCCTGAGTTTCTTTACAAATTAATTTCCAGGGGAAATAACAAAAAACTCGTAGCGGAGTTAAGGCTTGTACAAAAGATCAAGCAATCACCACGTGCAACTTCTCTTTTAGACTGTCAGTTGGACTGTTTTAGAAAATCAGACTTAAGCACCCAGAAACCACTGGTGCTCTTGCAATGCTCTTTGAGGGTTTAGCGATACATGGGGACTTAATTGTTCTTTGTTTATGTTTGATATGCTAATGGTATTGTGAATTCCTTATGTCCCACTGTCATGAAATGGAACAGTAGAGATGAAATTGTTTGATCTCCTTCTTTTTTAAAAAACAAATTGGAGGGGGTAACACCAGCAGTGCTCAGGTCCTACTGCTGGATTACCACATGCAAGCCAACAGTCCTATCCACCGAATTATCACTCTGGCAAATTAAACAATCAAATATTGTTTGATTTCTTGACATAGCTTCAAAAATAATTTGGTGGGCATAGAAGAGAATGTGGGTGACAATTTAAAAAGAAAAGGGTGAGTTCTGAATTACTAAATAGGAGGCTGATCTTCGACTGTCCTTTCCAATTTTGTATCTGTTTGGAAATGTCCATGAAACAGAGTTTTAAAAAGTAAACGCCATTTATAAGATGAATTATTAAAATGTAATCTCTGATTAGCTATACTTAGCCTGATAACATAATTGCAAGTTCCTTGAAGTCAGAGAGAGATTAATTTTATTTTCCTCTGAATGCTGACAGGACCCATGGTGTAAAGAACTCTAAATAAATTCTGATGAGTTCAAGAATAAATGAGTGGAAGTGCAGACTCATTTGTTAATCCCTCAGATCCACTTAATGCTGGAGACATTAGAGCAATTCTCTGCACCTTCCAGTTCCTCCAAGGTAACGACACAAGCTTTGGGGGGGAAACCAAGAAACCCCCTGCACGAAGGCTTGATTTTGCTTTACGGTGGTTTTATTAGATTCTTGCCATCCGCTACCTCAAACGCTTAGAGCTGGCAGCATCTACAAGATCAAGTCGGGATATTCTGCCACGTGTCCTGCTGACCGCAGATTCTTCTTGAGACAGGCATAAGTTTCTGAAAATGAAATTCTTGCAGAGGCTTTTGTATTTTGCTGCCTTTCTAAAGCACGGTCTGAACCCAGAATGGCCGTATAACAGCGAGACACATCGCGCTTGCCGTGCACGGCCCACCCCGAGCATGCTTGGCAGGTGGCCTGTGGTCCTGATGCAAGGCCCTTACCTTTGTAGGAAATGATGGGGTGCTCGGTGCGCTGGCAGCCCTCTGCGTCTGTCTCCGTCTGGACGAGTCTCCAGCAGCCCAGGCTCGAGAATAGCCACACAATGACGCAGGGGCCCTTCATGGTGGGCAGCGGACCGTGGACTCGGGACTCGGGTCTCCTAGCCAGAAGCTCGGCTCCCCGTCATGTAGGACAGCGCCTGAAACACACCAAAATGAAGGCACTGAACTTGCGCCAAGTTCCGCTGCAGGGCAGTCTTGGTCCAGCCGTTTTCCTAAGAAGCTTCCAGAGTTTCAAAAAACACCATTTCTAGATTCCCTGTGAGTGGGAGCAAAGCGAAGGAGCCTCCTCCCTTTCTCCCCACGACTTTCTGAAATAAACCATTTGGGTCTCACTCACAGGTCATTTTCATAGTCACTACAATGCACACAAATAACACTGTGAGTGGGTTTGCGAGAGAATATTAATTTGGTATTGCTTGTTATGAAATGTTCATCATGTTAAGAAATAATCAGCACTGAGAAATATGTATCTCACTAGACCACAAAGGTTGTCAAAGGTGAAATATTAACTAAGTAGGCCATCATCCAAGAACTTGCTGAATAAAATTCTACATGAGCCAAAGAGATTGTTACTGTTACATTTAATTTGGGATCACACATACAAATATATACGGGGTTGTATGCATCCCATGAGAGAAATCGCATGCACACACGCTGCATTAATAGTAATTCATTTTTTTCTGATTGTATATTTGAACATGACAGCAAGTTCCGGCACTAGTTTTCAAAATCACTGAATTCCTTGGCATTCCCACACCTTCTATTCTGTTTTCCAAACCACAAAAGAAATAGCAGGTTTTCATCTTTTCTGTTTTAATAAACATGTGATATGCATTAGTTTGGATGTCATCCTCGGCAAAACCTTACAACAGGGTCAAGTTCATTCACTCCTCGGTGCAGAGAGATAAATCACAGATTGTAAAGGAGAAACATCACAGTTGATGCAGCACAGGTAAGTTACCAAAGCTGCCAGGGGAATGCAGCTGACGAGCTGTGACCTGAGTACTAGTTTTCCTTGGAACACCACCCTCAGCCCCACACAAAAATAGGTCTATTGTGGTGATCTTCAGATTGTCAAATATCCCAGGCACCCTACTTAATACGGATCACTGGAATTAGTTTATGCTATCCAACTCTTCCTAAATGGTCCACGTGGCAGAATTATTTTCTGAACTTCACAGATGACCCACTGCAAAGTGCCTGTCCGGGGAGCCGGTGTGTGTTCAACGCATCTATACTGAGCACCTACCAGGTGAAAGGAAATGATGGCGGTGGAAGCTGGTGACTGACTTAAAGATGATGAATTATTTAAACGATGAGGAAGGTTTAAGCAAGACAGGCTAGTAAAAATAACTACAATCCAAGCTGTTAGAAAACCATAAAAATAAGGAGTTCTGTGGGAGTTTAGAGTATGACTGCTATTTTGAGGGGTCAGAGAGGAGGCCACAGAGGATAATCTAAGTTTCTTGTGGGGGATAAAGAGGATGTTAAGAGATACAGCTGGTTAGAGATACATTCCACGCCAGGGGAAGAGGAAGAGGGGGGAAACACACTAGGAGGCAAGAGATGAAAGCAAGAAACAGGTCTGGGAACATGGCTTCAACCAGAGACACAGGATAGTGGCAAGAGGAATGGCATTTGGACTAGAACGACACCCAAATCCTAAGTCTGTCCTTTCCGACAATCATGGTACATCAACACGAAAACAAGAATAAAATTGACTTCACAGCAGAAATCAATTTTACAGCAGAACACATAGAAAGTTATGGGGAGGTGATCATCCAAATTACTAAGTGGATTTGAAGCTACAGAAATAGCACAGAGGAGAAATACACAAAGCTGTGACTTCAAGGGTTGCTGATATGAATCAAACTCAAGACAGAGGAAACACCCAATAGGATGGGCAAGGGAGATAGAAAATTAAGGTCACAGAATGACCTTCTTCCCATTCTTCCCATTGAATGGGTGAGGGGGAAGACATGAGTCCACCCTCTGTCTTGAACTTGGGTTATCTCATCAGACAACACAAGAGATGGCATGTGAGTTCCCAAGCCCAGACCCTGACCCTGAAAGACTAAAGGTTCATTGATACTCCCCCACCCTGCCCCACTCTCTCTCTCTCATAGAATACATTCTCAAGGACGCTCAAATCAGGTGCCAAATCTCACATACTGTGACCGGAATACCAGAGGCCACACACGGGGGTTCCTGCTGACATATACCACATCAACCAGCCAGGTCTTCTGATACCCAAGTGAAGCAGAAACCCGCGGAATGACCTCAGTAAATATCCAGAACACAAAGAATTCAGTCAGCTGAGCTTTTCCCAAATCCCGAAATCAAAAGGTAGAATATAACAAAATGGTTTAGCATTTCTCAACCAGTTTCCAACCCTGGTGAGACTCAATCTGTGGCCCAGTTCATGGAATTTTCATCTGGCTCCCACTTACTTGTGGGGATCCTCAGGGGGGCCATCTAGCCCCTGGTTGAGAAATACTGGTTTAATTTGTTAAACTTGGGACAACAGAAAGCAAAGAGGCATAGAGACTCAACGTTGACAATATAAAGAGTCTTTGGAGTTATGATGCCACATATTTAAGTAGAATAATCAACAGAAGCATTGAGTAGAGATGAAAATGATCACTGAGCTTGTGTATGCAAGATTTAGATGCTGAAAGAATATTAAGTGAATGCAGTCAAATATTGGAAATTCAGATTGTATGAACAAGAAAAGAATAAAGAATCCAGCTTATATCCTGGAAGCGTGAAAACCATAGGTGTAGTGATGAGAAGCCAGAAGAAAGCATAAGAGGAAACTTGGGTAAAGAGAACTATTTATTTAAAAAGTTGTGATATAAGTAATTGTCCAAGATGATAAAGCAGTGCACGAAGGGAGTATACAATATGGAGCTCATATAAGCTGGAATGTAAAATAACACATTCAAGGGGCCAAAGTTGTCTGCAGGAGAACTCCAGTTAGATCCCGTGTGTAACTCCCGTGTGCTACGTGATGTCTCAACAACTCTGCTATAGGAGCCCCTGGCCACACTGGTGTGTGGACTCTAGCACACAAGCACTGAGTCTGAAAGATGTTCAACCCCCTCGGCCACCAACCCAGACTATTAACCTCAGCAAGCACAGGTGCGAGCACCAAACTGACTGTTGGCTGGCACCATGGTCAAGTGTGTTCAAGCATGACATCTCAAAGCAAGAGTCCCAATGGAGCCCTGGGATCAAGTGGGCATGCACCATGATCAAATGTAGATGGGACCCCAGTCTTCGCAACAACAAAGGGAGTGAAGGGAGAAATAGGAGGAAGTGGCTTGTCAGTGGCATTCTGGGGACGGGGCAGGCGTCAGTACCTTCAAGGCCACATGGCCAGTGTCCACTTTGCAGATGCAGCCTGAGCGGACTGGGAGACAATTCCCAGAGCAAGGCACTGAGAAAGGAAAGGCTGGGGCCAGCACAGCTGACCTGCTTGCTAGGTGAGTACCAAAAATCCCATGCAACTGATTCCTCTCTGAAAGATGCAACTCATGAAAATTCCGGCATTACCCAGGAGTAAGTGTGGCTCCTTGCGAGAAGCAGAGACTAAAGAAGAGATGGTGGACATAAGACGAGAGAAGACTCTTGGCTCTCACACCCAGAACCGTGCAAGCTAGAAGAGGTGCAGGTACCTGCAGATCAGAGAGGCCGGGGGGCTTCCCTCGGAGGGCAGGGCATGCCCCTGCAGGTGGGGAAGGGCACTGGAGGTCACGGAGCATCAGGGGCATGGCCCAGGGCATCCTGCATCCCAGAGGCACAGCGTGGAGAAGGGACAAAGGAGATGCACACAGATCTCTCGTCCTGGATTATAAAGCTCAACTGTGGTCCAGGGCCCAGAGAGATTCCCCCCAGGGGTAAGGCACTTGCCTTGCTTCTCAGTTCCCAGTACCAAAGAGGGTCCCTCAAGCCAGGCTAAGAGTGATTCCTTGGACATGAAGAGTATCAAGCTAAGTGAAATGATTTAGAAAGACGGACAGACATAGAAGGAATGCACTCATTTGTGGAATATAAAATAACATAACATGAGATGGACACCCAAGGACAGTAGACACAAGGGCCAGGAAGATTGCACCATAGTTGGAAGCCTGCCTCATAAGCTGGGGAAGAAAGCAGCTGGAATAGAGAAGAGATCACTAAAGCAGTGATGGTTTGGGATGGGAGATGTGTGCTGAAGTAGATAAAGGACCAAACATGATGGCCTCTCAGTATCTGTATTGCAAACCATAATGCCCCAAAGTAGAGAGAGAGTATGGGGGAAATTGTCTGCCACGGAGGCAGGGGGAGGATTCGAAAGGGGATGGGGGTGATACTGGGGACACGGGTAGTGGAAAATGTGCACTAACTAGTAGTGGGATGGGTGTTTGATCATCATATGATTGAAACTCAAACATGAAAGCTTGTAACTATATCTCACAGTGATTCAATTAAAAAAAAAAAAGAGTGATCCTTGATGCAGAACCAGGAGTAAGCCCTGAACACTGCCAGGTATGGTCCCAAAACAGCAATGAAAATCTCCAAATAAGATTCATTTGGGGAAAGAAAGAAACTCAGAAACTGGAGAATGGAAGCACTAGAAGTGGCCCTTCTTTTCTTCTCGTTCTGACCCCAAGACAAGTCTGGCCCCAAGATACGCATGGGGTGGGTGGACCTGCAGCCCCTCGGTGCTGCGTGCAGGACAGCCTGGCTCTGCGGCTTAAAGGGAGCTGCAGTGAACATTCCTGTTCCATAGCCGAAGAAACCAGTGAAGATGAAAATACAGGCAAGTCGTGGTCAGTCAGAACCCTCACAAAAGGATGAGTCCACCCCAGGTCTGTGCCCAGTGGGTACCCAGGCACAACAAGGGCACCTCCATGCCCTCAGAGCAGGAGTCCAACAGAAGATGATCAGAAGCGGTGCCCTGTCCTCAGTGAAGGGCTGGGAGAGACTCCCTCTCCTGCACTTCAATTCTCACTGAGTTGCCATCCAAGCCCTTTCTAGAACCCGTGAATCCAGTTACAAGAACCAAGAGCCCCTGGAACCTCCTTGGCACAGATACCAACTCTCCTCTGGGAACCTTT